GTGAGTGAGTGCGTGCGTGCGTGCGTGCGTGCGTGTGTGTCCAGACGGCTGTGACTCAACAGTGTTAATCAGTCTCTCACCTGCAGGAAGACTTTGTTGACTCCCTGGACGTAGTCGGCCACTCTCCCGAAGATCAGACGACCCACTCCAGACGTGATGCCGATACACATGAGCAGAACCTCTTTATTAGCATCTGCACCGAAACGCTCCTCCACATGTTTCATCTGAGAGAGAGACGGAAGGATCTTAATCACTGATCTCATGTGAGACTGCACTCACACACATACAACATAAAATGACACATTCACTTACTTACTTGCTTACAGGGAATAATAGTGTTTTACCCAGACCTGTCCCTTAAAATCTGGAATAAAACTTGTTTTGAAGTCATCTGGTAGCTGTGTGCACTTTCTGTTTATTTGTATAAAGAATAACCACTGTCCTCAGTACTGTCATTACTATCATGTAAATCATGCTAGGGTTACATTTTCCAGAAAGTGTCGTGTTTGTGTCTGCTGTGAATGTGACGTGACAGGAGCACATGGTCTTTACCAATGCAGACCGTGTTAGATATTTAGATATGAGAAGATATTTCGAAGAATGTGGGTAACCAAACAATTTCTGGTCCCCATTGACTTCCATAGTATGGGGGAAAAAAATACTATGGAAGTCAATGGGGACCAACAACTGTTCGGTTTACCCTCAACTATCCGTTTAAGTATTAGTAGGAATACAAAACATTCGTAGCCTTTTTTCTTAAGTTAGAAAATAAGCAGAAAACAGCAGTTAAGAAGAGTTTTATTCTTAAGAACATGTCATGAATCCAGCCGCTGGTCTTCATTCCATGTGATGCATGTTTTAACAGACAGAACAGAAAAAGCTTGATTTCTCAGGTCGTCAGAAGCGTCTCTGCCTGAAGAATCACACAGATATTGTTTTTAACTGAACGCCATTGGTGCTTTTCAGAAGAATCCTGTGTTTCTCAAGCAACCGCCGCTTGATTGTGTGTGTGTGTGTGTGCGTGTGTGTGAGAGAGAGAGAGAGAGAGACAGAGAGAGAGAGAGAGTGTTGAGGACACACAGGAATTCACTCAGAGCGAACAGACAGGAAAAAGGGCCTGTTTTAGGGACTGTTCTGTTACAACACTCCAAACAGACACATGAACCCGCTTCCTGCTCAGCGCTATGTTTGTGTGTGTGTGTGTGAGCAACACCCCCCCCCCCACCCATTTG